TTTGTTTTCTGGATGTTGGACATTGTAATGAACACATCCACATAGCCTCCTTGCTCCAGCGCAAAGACATCTCACTTACTGCTTCCTGAGTTTCTATCTCATTACCAGGCCATTACTAAAGCAACTCAAAGACAGGCGGATCTGGTGTCGAAGTAGCACAAGACCTTCCGTACAGACAGTCTAAGGTGTAATAAGGAAGAGGCAGCTTGAGGGTGGGGTCAGCAATCTGCTCAGGTTTTACTACTACTACTACTAATTACTACTCAGCTTTGCCATGGGAATACCCTCTTCTATCTGTTATTTGGGCTCTGCCCCTATTCTGCACTGCTGCTTAGCTATGTGGGAGACCAGAAATTTGGCTTCTGCAACCATTTTATTTAAGGTTGCTTCCCCCCCACCCCCCGATCAGGTAGGTGAACCAATCAGTCCAAAAGTGGTAACTGATTCAAAAGACCATGTAACCTAAAACAGCTGAGAGAACTACACACACCACTTCCACTCTTGAATACCAGTTCCATTTGTGCTGTGCTGTGGAGATGTCCAGGGGGCTTGCTTTATGTGTTGTGGGTGGGTAGGGGGCATTTACCATCGCTTTGGCTGCAAGAGAGGATGGAATTCCAGCTGCTTTATTTGCTGTATTTTGAAGGGTAATTTACCTATCTACACATACGCGGCAAAAAATGGAGTTTTCATATCAAACTCCAAATCTTTACCAACGCATTTAGTGGCTGCATCTCAGCTGCACAAATACAGATAACAGGTAAGTAACAACCAAGAGATACAAAAGGCATTAACTCCTTGCTACCACCTTGTAGTTAATAGATCAATTGTTGACAGGTCAATAATTATATAAAAATTATGTAGATATATCCAGGAGCACCCCACAACTGATTGTGTCTCTGACACCAAAACCTCAAGAATATTTCTGCAAGGGTTACATCAGGGAAACACAAATGCCGGTGACCACTAAACTGCAGCCAAAAAAGAAACATTCTTTGCTGTCCTCTAGTGGCTGGTAGTTCAACAGTTCTTTGGGGAAAGAAAATAAGAAAAAAATTGACTTGACAGAGTGCCCAAGTGTACAAGCCTCCCCCAGCAGTGATATTCAGATTTCAGCCAGAGGAAACCACTTATCACAGCCCTTTGAGTGTTGCATGGTACAGATGTGTAATACAGGTGCACTGTAAGGACAGCAAGATTTAGGGCAAGACAAGTCATTTTGGGCTCCAGGTGGAAGGAAAGCACAGCAAAAACAGCTGTGTGGATGAGCTCAGTATTACAACTTCCATAGAGATCAGTGAACTATAATTTGATAGGCTAATATGCAGAAATGTGGGGGTGTTACGTATAGCTGTGTGTGCATGTCTGCCTGTCCATCCATCTATCCATTCTCTCTTGTTGCTTTTGTAACATAGGCAAGATCACTGTTTGCTTGATAGAATTACTCTTTTACACAGGATTCTTCCCTGAAACACCACTTTTTCCACATGACCTTTTACTTATGGTTTTAATCCTTGCTTCTAGTTATAATTAAGATTTAAGTACACATTACAACATGTTTCCATGGGCATTAGCCTATTTTTTCCCCCTTATCTCTGCTTATTCCCTCTCTATCCATTTTAGACTGAAAGCTCCTTAAGAGGAGAAATTCATTAATAAGTAATACTGGTACTGTGAGTGGTAAAAATGACTGTAGTAAATTGTGGCTTGTAAAGGGCAGCCCTTCCTCCTCTTTAACTAAGGTGATGGCCTGGAATTCTGTCCAGATTGCCCTACAACAGCACCAATTTGTTGATTCTCCTGTTTTTTTAATCTCTTCCCACCTTTCCACGGGCAGGTTTTTGAGGACATAACTTTTTGATATAACTTTTGTATGAGTTCCCATTGATATGACTTTGTATGAGTCTCCTCTGCTGACTTTCCCTCATACTTGATATCTTCCTTTCTGGACATCCACTGGTAGACCAATAAAAAGAAAAAAAGAACAACAGTTTTACCATTCTTCCTGTACTTTGGGCTCTAGACTTTCACTATTTCATCACTGAAAAAGAGATGAGATGAGACTGGTCTTTCAATGTTCTACCAGTTAATTTGTTTTTAAAAAGTAGTCAGTTAATGAAACAAAGGAAAAAAACAGGTTCACCAGTCCAGTTTTCTCCAGAAGGGGGAGGCAGCCAAGTAACCCAGAATGAAATGATCATAGAAGAGAGGAATCGGAGGGGCCATGGAATTGAGGCCTTTGCTTACAATGAAATGAAGCACAGGTAAACCTGTAGCACTGCTGTTTTGGCACAAGCTGGAAAAAACTCTTTTGATGCATCACAGGAAAAGATGGGTGAAAGTTGCATTTCCACTGAGCTGCGGGCAGATAGAGGACAACATTGTGTATTCCTGTCCTTGAGAAACAGTGGGCCATATTCATGCTGGGACAACCTGGTTGTGCAGATAAGCACTTAGTCTGTACTGTAGTTCAGAATAAACTATTTCTATCAAGAGGTCTTGTTGATGATTTAGAAGCCCACACATAACTATATAGAGTAGTAACTCAAGGTGATATTTAACATATATCCTAAAGTAGTAATAGTAGTCATAATTATTATTTCAGCTACCAAAAATTTAAGGAAAATAAAATTATCTGCACTGCACGGTCATGCTAGCTAATAATCTATGGCAAAACCAGGAAGTGGTGCGTCTATCCTTGTGCTCCTTGATCTCTCAGCAGCTTTCAGTACCATTAACCATGGTATCCTTTTGGACTGGCTTTTGGGGTTGAGGGTGGGAGACACTGTTTTACAGTGGTTCTTCGTTCTCTGTTGCCAATTGCAATCAGTGTTGGAGGGCAGGGAGAGATAGAGCCCACAGCCCCCCATTTGTGGAGTACTGCAGGATACAATGCTCTCTCCCCTTCTGTTTAACATCTACATGAAACTGCCAGCTGGGTTCATCCATTGATTTGAGATCTGATATCATCAGTAAGCTGATTATATCCAGTTGTACAACTTAATCCTGTGCCAACCAGGTAGTGTTGTTGAAGTCCTAGCCCAATATCTGGAGCCTGGATGGGTCTGGATGGGGAAGAACAGACTCAGGCTCAGTACTGAAAAGACCATGAAGCTATGTGCCCCTCCTCGCCCAGTTCCAGGAATACAGTATTCCATTGTTAACTCTCAGTGGGGTGGTACTTTCCCATGTGATACTAGAAGACAATCTTGGGGTCCTTTGGACACTCAGCTAATGCTCAAAGAGCAGGTAGCAGCTATGGCCATTAGGGCTTTGCACAGGTACATTTGGTGCAATGTTTGCACCTTTTTCTGGGCTGGGAGGCTCTTCAGACAGTCAGTCATGCCCTGGTCACCTCACAATTGTATTACTGCAATGGGGCTGCCCTTGAAGACCATCTGGAAGCTACAGCTGATCTAGAATGCAACGGTGCAAGTAATAATAGGAGCAGCACATGACCCTGTGACCCTACTGCTTCACAAGCTGCACTGGTTACCAGTTGGCTTCCAAGTGCAGTTAAAGTTGCTGGTTGTCACCTTTAAATTACCATATGGCAAAGGCCTGGCTATCTGAGGGACCACTTATTTCCAATTGTTTCTGCCTGTTTGGTGTGATCAAGAAGGATGGATGTACTCCAGGTTCCACCCATCAAACAGTGTCATCTTATGGGATCTAAGAGGTGTGTCTAAATGATCGCAGTGCCTGCCATCTGGAACAATATACCATCAGAGATTCATTCATCATAGCCACCCTTATGATGTTCTGGAAACCTGGTTGTTCTCCCAGGCCTTGGGATAGAGTGGTTGCGGAGCCCCTTTTAGTTTAGCTTAGTTTTGTCTGGTTTAAGATTAGGTGTTTATTCGTAAATTTGGTGTGTTCTCTTTGGCATACATATAGTGTTTTTTCTTTTATTTGTAATCTGCCCAGTGGTTGAGGAGTCAGGCACCCTCAAAATTGGGTTAAATAAATTTAAAAATACGTTATTTCATCTTCGCGGGGTTTTTTTCCCCCAAAGGGATAACTTTTATTTCAAATTTTTGAAAGAAACATTTTCCCCTTTTGTAGGACTAGCCTCACCCTAAACTTTTGATGTGACAATAGAAACATCTAGGAAACTAGAACATTTTCCACTGGCCCAGGTGTTAGGTTTTCCTTACATCTTCCTCCAGAAGAAAAAGAAATGACGCTTTCGTGGAGTGACCCTGTGGTTTGGGGTCACAAGCAGGGTCTTCTTAGTAGGATGAGGGGCTGTTAAAAGCCCATTCCGAATGGCCAGCAATCTGTGCCTCCTATCGCTGATTGGCTCTTCCTTTACCAGTTTGGCTTCGGGCATTTGCTGGCTCTTAAGATGCTGGGGCAAGCGAAAAATAAGAAAAGTCAACCTTGGCCGAAGCTGGGGGAGACCCAGTTTGAAGAACCTAAGCCCAGCAGTTGGTCTGTCTTGCTCAGCACTGTTTTCTTCCTGATTAGACACTGGCTTATTGTCCTAGAAAGGTGCAGATAAAAAGCAGTGGAGATGGGGAACAGGAGTATTAGTGTGGTCTTCTGAAATCTTACACTATCTACATTTCTAATCATCCCCACCTTGTATTCCAACCAAAAGAAAAAAAAAGTTAATGTATAAGGATACCAAATATTCATGTTGCTTGGAAGTGACAGAACTTACAGTCCAACCCCTCTGGAAGATGTCAAAGAAGGGCAGCCCTGATGATTTGTGTGAATTGATCAGAGAATGTATATTAAGAATGGGGGTGATTTTGGAATCCAAATTCCTTGGCCTTCTTGGAGAGTCTGGGATAGGGAAATATGAATCTAATAAAGGATTAGGAAAAGGAGGGGACCCATGAGTTCTGATTATAAAAATGGATTGGACAGATGATTATAAGTTTAACAAATGCTGTTAGCTTTCATCATTAAATAAATCTGTCCTATTCAGTGGTACTGTGCCCTAGAATCAAATTCTAGGAAAGGGTCAGAGAACAAAAAAATGATTGCCTTCAGTCCTTGCTTACAAGTTTTCAAGAGGCATTGAATTGTCTGCTGTCAGACATGAAAATGAAAATCAAAAACATATCCATGTATGTTAACCTGTGATTTTTCTCCCTTTGGGAAGTCATGATACAAGTAGTTTGCTCCTGGGTCCCTAGTGAGGGAAGTCTAACAGTGTCCTAGAACAAGTCGGGAATAATCAGTCAAGTGTGCTATACCTTAACCCATCTCCTATCTAACCAGTTACGATTCTGGTTCAATTTCAGTGAGGTGTTACTGTACTTCATTAAAAAGAAGTAGTTAGTGTATTAAAAATGACAGTAAAAATCTCTTTGACTCCCCTAATAGACAAGGCCGACAAGTGATAAAACATACATCATAATGTAAGTTGTGCCTCTGACATCCTTGCATGCAACATGACTCAAGTATAAAATGGTGAAACCTGACTCATGACATCACAATGCCCACTTCATTGTTCTGGCAGTTTTTTCCCACTACGCTGCCTCAGTCCTTTAGAGGAGCTTTAGAGGGCAATAGCCACTGGGCAAATTATTCAAGAGAAAGAATGCTCCTGATTGCTACTGTTACATAAAAACAAATCAAAGAAGAACCTTAACCTTAATAGGCAAAAATTGGTTTAGCTCAAGTATAATATGACACTAATTTCCCTACCATATTTGTTAAAACATCTGCAGGCAGGCATCATGAGGAACACTGTTCCCTGCAAAGTTGCATCTCAATATGGTAATTTGGAAGAGATAACAAATCTACTTGTATGACTGGCACACCTGTTTGCACCACCCATTTTAGAGTCTAACCCTAAAGTATCCAACCTTTTGGTGGTCAAGCCTATACTTTTCGGGCAGGAGGGCTGAGGGCCAAAAAGTAAACAGAGTCACATGATGCATAAGGGCAGAACAAGGGATTGGATGATGGTTTGAGAGATTTTTTTTTAATGAGATATGCCACTTTGAAGATTTACATCACAGTTTTCATGGATTTTTCACCTTGCAATGACAGGAAACTTGTCCGTTTTCAGCAGTTATGGTCAGAAGGGGCTCCAAAGACTGCAGAAAGGGGACTCAAGGGCCACATATTGCCTACCCCTAATATAATATCACCTGTCTCTTCCACACATTCTCCTCACAAAGACGTACATTTGCACAGCCTAAATCTGACTGGAAAAAGGTAAGCAAGTACACCCATTTTTTGTTCACTGACCTTCTCCTCATCTGGATGGGTCTCTGTTTGCTCAATAGAGGTCATAGATTTCTCCGAAAACATCATATCACCTGTACGGTTATCAGTCACCTACAAAGAACAATATAAGGTTGAGCAGGATTGTCAAAGAGGAAGGATACACATTCAAAAACTTCCTAATAGCCAAGGCACTGCATGGCTGTGGGATCTTTTGATCTGAATTTCTGTGCAGTTCCCTCAGATGCGCTGGAAAGTACCCATTCCATCAGTGGGACTCCCTTAGAATCTGATGGTGCTGAACTATATAGGTAGGAGACCATTAAGGAAAAGTGCATTCAAACATGCTCCCAGGCTGTATAGAGATCTGCAGCAAGGAAAAAGCACAACTTTTCTGAGCATTTGAATCAGGCCTCTGCCCTAATCAGGACCATGGCTGGCCCCAAGCTTGGGTGAGGACTGTGGCAGACTGTCTTCTGGGGAGCTCCCTGTTCCACCCCTGGCTCCCCCTCTTTTATGTGTTAGTCCACTGCTGGATAGGGGGCTACGTGGCAATCACACTGGGCAACAGAATGGCCTCAGAGCCATGTTTTTAATTTTCCATAATGCTCCTGATGCAATATTGCCCTGGGACATTGCAGAAATGAGGATGGTGACTTGCAGAGCTAACTGCCCAAGAATGATGGCAGCCTCACTTTTCTAAGGGGAGTGCTGGCAGCTGCCAGGTCACTGGGGCTATGGCAACTACCAAAGAATGCTGACTAGCATTGGACCTACTCTGTACATACAGCAGAAGGAGGCTATAAAGTGCCAAAGAAATAGAATGGACTGTCCTATTTCAGCCAGCAGTTGGGGGTTTGCTTTACTGAACGCTGCTGAATATTCCTAACAGGGAGGGAGCCAAGTTAGAGTTATCCTCCCTGATGTGCTTGTTTTGTATCTGCAGACAGCTGTCTTTAAAATCAGGAGCCACCTTCAAAAGTGGTACCCCACTTCTATCACTCAGGCAGTGCAGTTTGCCCTAGCACTTTATTCTGTTCCCCGTATAGACCCATTCTTAGTCGTGGTGGTAACAGAGGCAGCTGTGGAGGAAAGAGAATACGTAGATGGACTCCTAGCTGTGCTAGAACCAAAATTTTATTTAGTTATATAACTATTTGTATCCCCTACCATCTGATCATATATATATATACACACACACACACACACACACACACACATACATATATATATATATATATATATACATACATACATACATACATACATACATACATACACACACACCCCTATGGAGATAATGACTATAAAAGCAAATGAAACTCAATAAAAGAAATCAACACATTTTAAGTAAAACACCAAGTTAGAAATACTTTAAATAAATAAAAATGTCTAACGGCTGACTCTAAATC